GTCTGTCTGCACTGAGGGCAGCTGTAGATTTTCTTCTTTTCCTCTTCATCCCAGAAGCTTTTAATACAGTTCATGCAGTAGCTGTGTCCACAGGGAATAGTCACCGGATCCTTCAGTAGATCCAAACAGATCGAACAAGAGAAAGTTTCTTGTGTCAGCTGAACTCCTTTCTGCGCCATTTCTCCTCTCAGTATCAGCGACTTTGCGAGTTTCACTTCCGTATGACTGACGCTAGTCTGAGCTTACCAGCATGTATCTGTAGTGAATCGGGCCTGTGAGCTCTTCCGTGTCACCACATGTTTGTCACATTCATCTTCAAACTGCAGATCGAAAGGGGAGGGAACACGGAAACATGTTGACAGAAAGGAAGTCTTGAGTTAGAGAGCAGGAAGAAGACGAAGGGTGTGATTCGTTTCAGGAAGAGGAGAAATGCTTGTTGAACACTTCTTATAACAGAGCTTGTTTCACATTTTTTTCAAAACTTGTTTAAGTCTGCTAAAATAATTTTAGCTTCTTTTCCTTCATCCCAGTGCAGACATCACTGTTTTTTCTGTCTATTCCTGTGTGTCATTGATATAAAAGGTAACTTTTGACAGAAATAGACCATGTGTCATGTGAGAATATAGAGCCCATGCCTTTATTGCACATAAATGTAATATATTTTTAAAAGACACATAGTTAATTCTATTATTTTAGTATCATGTCATGAACAATATTTTCTGACCAAACAGGCTCAGACACCGTTATCCACAAAGATATCAAAACTGGAGCAGTGAGATACAGACAGGTGACAAATTAAAGGAAAAAACTTCGTCATGAGGTTTTTGTGTACCATGTGCCCTCAGAACAGCTTCAGTCTTTCATGGTATTGATTCTGCAAGTCTCTTAAAATCTAAAGAACAAATGAAATGAAAAAAAAAGTTTTTTTTTTAGAGTTTTGATGAAATTGTTAAGATCACTTTATTTTATGTCATTCAAAAGATAATGATGAAATCATGACTCATGAAAGATGTTCAGCTTGGTTGAGACTGCCTGGCTTTGATGGCCAAAGCGCATGACTCACACCATTTTCATACTCCTGAAATATTCTATGATCCTGCTGCAGTCCAATCCCATCAATATAGAAATGTTTCACCCTACAAAGTGACTGTGAAAGTGCTGTGGTCAGACGGTCCAGTCTGAGTATTTCAGACACTTACTGATCTATTGGATTTTCTAGCACAACCACATCTAAGGTCTACAGACAACGGTCTAAAAAAAAGTCTAGCAAGCTGAAGTTTTCTGGGTGAACATTTTTTGTTGATGTCAGAGGTCAGAGGAGAATGGCCAGAGTACTTTGAGCACTTTTGAAGGCAACAATGACTCAAGTAGCCGCTTGTTACAAACTAAGGCAAGCAGAAGAGCATCTCTGAACATATAACATGTTCCTCTTTGAAGGCAATGGCCTGCAGCAGCAGAAGACAATGCTAGGTGCCATTGCCATCAGCTAAGGATGAGTTTTTTGCTGCAGCATTTGAATTATACCTCTGGTATCATCTCACTCTGATCCTTTTGTGCAATAAAAATAAAGGTTATGTCCATATCCACTCTGCAGACTGCGCCCTATTTTCCTAATCTGGTACACTCTGTGCAGAGGTGGGTTTTTCTGTTCTCAAACTGATCTCCCTATTGGAGCTCAGTGTGGGGGGAGTTATTTTTTTTTAATCCTTATCTTTCCTCATGTGGTGCATTTTCCATTGTTATACCTTTCTGACCTGTCTTCCCCATGTGATGTTTTTTTGTATGTTTGTATGGTCGGAGGTTAAGATGGCGCCGCGATTGCGTGCGATAGGTCGGCAGCCTTAACATGAAATTTCCCACTCGTGGGACTAATAAAGGTATCTTATCTTAAACTGTAGCAAGTGTGAGTGGAACTGATGAGCAGAATCAACAGGCAAGGAGATTAACAAATCCAAGGAATTTAACTATTGGGAACCAGTTTGTGACTCCCATCCCTAATGATGACAGATTTCATTTATAGAAAGTAAAACACAAGCAAAGTGAAATCAATCAAAAAGGATGAAAAGTATAAAAAAAAATATATAGACAGATTTTTTGTTCAAAGGCCAAACTTTTTAGTGAGTCTGGATGTGTGGGGGCAGTTTTATACAACTCAGTAGCTAACTTATACTTATCAAAATCCTAAAATATTCAGAAGCTTTGTATAATTCAGATTTTAAAAGTTAGCTCAGTTTAGGACCGTAGAAAACCAACATCTCATGTCTGTGGCGTTTGAAAACTAAAGTCAACTGAATACAAATTTTGTGGGAAGATGATGAAGTGTTGTAATGATTACTACAAACACTACTGATGTTATACATTGTGGATGTACTGAAGAAAAAGACGAAGAGGGCTGGCATAACTGAAGAGGATGCTAGAAACTGTGTGAGATATTGGAAGATGAGTCACTCTGGCGACCCCTAAAGGGAGCAGTTGAAAGAAGAAAAAAAAAGAAGATTGAAATCATTTTCTTTTTCTTACTATGTTGTTGTAATTTTGCTCCCAAGAGCTGACATACTGGTTTAATGATGCAGCAATGTCTCCTGCAGTTTCCATCAGTATTTCTGTCAAAACACTCTCAGATTTTAATAATATAATGTCAAAACTCTAAAACAAATTTCACCCAAATCTGTAAAACTAAAACAAATAAAAAGAAATTGAGCAGATTAAAAAATGAAGCAAAGGCAGAAAAATCCATTCATTAACTTAGCTGATTAACTACAGTCAGTAAATTTATTTACATAGCACTTTTCACAGACATGTAATCACAAAGTGATCAATAAAATTGATAAACTATATATAAAAAAATAAAAATACAGTTGAAAATTAAAATAGAGGTAAAACAAAACCAGTTACCAGTACTGTGCAAATGTCTTGAGCACCCCTCTTTTCTTTACATTTTACTTTCGAGGAGCCAGAGTTGTAATTTTTGACAGTTGGACAGGTAATCCATTTCTAGGTCACAGCAGCAAGTATAGCAGCAGGTATAAGCAGAGACACCCAGAGCTGAATTTTTCCAGCCACCTCCTCTAGTTTTTCCTAAGGGCCACCAATAAGTTCCCAAACCAGCTGAGAGATATAATCTCTCCATTGTTTCTCCTGGGGCCACATCCTGCAGTGCCCAGAACACTTCACACTGGACACTTTCTGGTTATATGCAAAAACCACCTTAAACATCTCCTTTTGATATTTGGGGAGTAGGAGCTCGACTCCGAGACGGAAAAACACGTGAAACGGTCCATTCAGAGTCAATGTCCCTAGCTTTCATCAGAATGCTGTTAAAGCTCTCAGAGTTAAAGATCTTGTGAACTGGAACCTCTACCAGATGCTTTCAGCACATCTACAGTATGGGTATGCAAGGTCGTTCTGGCATCCTTCCCCACCACTTCCTCCAACTCACCACTAGCTAATGATCAACTGACAACTCATAACCTGACAGTTCAGAACATACAGCTGCAGACCTAACTATAGGATTACAAAATTGATCAGCAATCTATGGCTCAGGTTTTGCTTCACTTCTTATGTTGAGTGTTGGGGACCCTAAGTAGCCCAGGTACATGCTGAATAGTTCTCGGATAGTATTCGGCATGTAAGCAGAGACATCAGCCAGGAAACGTTCGCCAACCCAAAGATGCAGGGGAAAAAAAACGCCCAAAACAACTGTTGAACCAGAAGGAAACAAGTATACCTGGAAAACTCCAGAGTAGGGTAGTAGAGTAGTACTTTCCCAGAGACTGGTTGCACAACCCAAGCTGTGCATTGAGGGGAGCCCAACTATATCTAGAGGTATATCTTGACCTTAACCACCAGCTCAGGATTCTTCCCCACCACATGTACCCAAATTCAGTTTCATTACCTGGGGGTTGCCAGTTAGTTGCTTGCACACATTCCAGGCTCTGGTTGTCAATCGTCAATCCAGTACTATCTTCAGTCAATTACTCATCATAAACTTGGAAAAAGTTTATGTTGCATCCTGCCTACTTCACATTAACAGCAGTTATGTCACTTTCTATGTTCTCTGGTCACCACGTCACAATTAATTAAAAAAAAAAAAGTACAATAAAAAGGTTCCAATGCGTAATAATAATAAGCCAAATAAACAATTCTGAGAGTTCTGTACACGTCTCAACCTGAATATGAGGTCACATTTTCCCTTAGTTGTTGCAGTGATTTGGTTTGTCACCAGTGTGGGCTCTATCATCGGCACACTGCCATGTCTGACAGCTCTCACTCATTTGTAATCTTTAACCAGTATGAATTCCCATGTGTCGTTTCAGGTTTGGCATCTGACTAAATCTTTTCCCACACATCGCACAAGAATGTGGTTTCTCACCTGTGTGGATTCTTACATGAGTTTCCAGTGTTGATTTCTGACTGAATCTTTTACCACAGGTGCTACACGAATGCGGCCTCTCACCTGTATGAGTTCTGATGTGAGTTTTCAAGTGTATCATACGACTGAATCTTTTCCCGCAGGTGCTACAAGAATGCGGTTTGTCACCTGTGTGATTTTGCATGTGAGTTTTCAAAGTTATCATGTGACTGAATCTCTTCCCGCAGGTGTTACAAGAATGTGGCTTCTCGCCCGTGTGAATTCTCATGTGTGTTTTCAAGTTTGCCATCTGACTAAATCCTTTTCCACAGATGCTACAGGAATGTGGCTTTTCACCTGTATGTGTTCTCAGATGTTTAGTCAGGTTGGATTTACACTGAAAGGCTTTTCCACAAGTGTCACATTTTACAGACTTTCTACTTGTATCAGTTTTACATTGGCTGTCTAAAGCCTGAGAGTCATTTACTCTTCTAATATGACTTCTGTCTATTTGATGTCTCAACAGATCTGCACATCTAGTCAATCCTGAGTCCACATACGTGCTTTCTTCCTCGTCTCTGCTCTCTTCTTCAGGACAGTTGTGAGAAAGGAGCTGGTCACTGTTTGGTTCACTTTCCTCATAAGTAGAAGTCACCATAAAGGTATCAGTCTCCTCTTTCAGTATAAGGTGCTCTCCCTCTTGACTGGTGTAGAGTTCCTCTGGTTCCTCTTTAATCTCTGGATGCCCTGGGTCTTTCTGATCAAGACTGGAGTTCCTCTCCGGGATGCAGACCTGCTGGAGGAGACCCTCCTCTTCCTTACATTCATGTTGTTGTGGGATTGCTGAAGGAACAAAAGGACACAAGAAAAAAGCTTCCTAATGTTATGACAGGAAAACACTAAAAACAGTATGGTATGTCATTCAAAATATTAAACCTGACCTGTTTGCTTCAAAAGTCAATCCTAATCTTAATTCCAGTTTGCATAAGTCAGTTTTTGTTTCAACTGCATGTGATCTTAATGTTCTGGATCTTCAGTCCTGGCTTCAACAACTTGAAAAAGAAAATGCTCAGCAAGTTGATAAAGTAAAATACTTGGAAAACCAAAGCTGACCGAGTTCCCCCTTTGTTTTCTTTGTCTTCGTCCGCAGCCATAAAGAAGCTTCCTTCATGTCATCCATGAACTCACCATCATAACATTGACCTGCTGAGGTGCATTCTGTTATTTTCTTTAGTCAGTTATTACTTTTTAGTGGATCGTTCAATGTGATTTCTAAAATTATATTATATATGGGTTCGTATATACAAAGTGTAAACCTGCACGTTGAAAGGAGCGATTTAAGATGGTTCGAGGATGCCTCATGGGCACCTCCCTTTGCAGGTGTTCTGGTCATGCCCAGAAACCTGCTGGAGACATAAAAAATACTCATCTAGCCTGGGAATGCCAGGCTAGATGATCCAGTTCCAAAGGATCCCTCAGTTGGAGAGGAATGTCTGGAAAAGTGTGCTTAGCTTACTGACCCAACTTCGGATAAGTGGATGGATGGATAGTACTCATCTGTTATGTAGAAAACATAATAAGCAATGGGAAAACAACATGAATTGAATTGCTTGTTTGCTGTATCCCACATTGTAGATGAGTTACCAAACATTTGAATAACACAAAGTCAGCGTTCATTTCACAAAAACAGAGTTCAACCTGTCTTGTTCTTACATCTTTCTCTGTCTCTGAGTAAAAATTCTCACCCTGTGAAATAAAGCAGTGATACATTTGGCTAGCAAATACACAGTGTAACATGTGAACTGAAGAAAATCAGATATAATGACAGCCCTAAAAAGCAAATTTTTCAGGCTCATAGCCTGGATTTATGCCCCAGTACAGTCCTGCATATAATTAAACAGGAGTAATGTTTAACCACATTAAGATGTGTGGATCCACTGTGAAAAAGTAGGCTTGCTTGTTAGCACTTATAACATTAGCCACACTTGACTAACTAGTCTGACATTTGGGGTATTTTAAATTATTTTATAGTATGTTATAATGATCTCTACCTAAAGGCCTATGGGTCTTGTTTTGGGAGCTACATTTGTTGTATTTTTAGTTGTAATGAATGTTTTTTGTTTGCAAGCCCTTTTTGTGTATATTTGGACAAACTGTGTAATTTCTCTCTATAGTTTCATCATTAATGTCCATTTTTATCTGAGGGTGTTTGGATCAAAGATTTTCTATTTTTGGCTCTTTCTGTGTGAAATACTACCTTTGAATATTTCAAATATCTGCTCCACGTTAGCTTTTTACTTATTCAAACATGTTTTGTTGCTCAAACCAGACTACATATATTTTCATTAAGTTAATCAGTGTTCATTTGTTTTATCGTTGCTTTGTAAATAGCTATCATTTTATTTATTATGTCTTGTGACCTTTTGTTTTCTGTTTGCTTGTCTTATTCGTTCTGTGCTAGTTGTGTATAGTACGTGTTGTTCTCTTATCATTTGTTGCATGAATTTTTGTTTGGCCCCCTTCAACAAAGAGATGCTACAGCTCAAGAGGTTTATCAACATATAATGAATCTGATTCAGATGTAGAGCTGTGTGATGTCATGTCGTGTAATGAGACTTATGACTATGACTCAAACTAAATGACTAATATTAAGGAAAGAGGTGCGATATATGGTCATCTCCATAGAAGCTTCCAAAATATTATTTATATTTATATTATTTATTATTATTATTATTTATTACTTTGTAATTTTCCACAGTTTATGTGGACAGGAAGTAAGTATGCAGCCAGTCTGAACCAGTTTGCTCATTGTAGCTCTTTTCATTCAGTCTCAAGGTCGGTCTTTCTTTATCAGGCAGGCTCACTCAATAAATGCCTCTCAGAGGGCAGTTCTTTGTTAACCAGCCTGCACAAAATGCTTTGTGTGTCTGTTCATGCTGGTCCTTCTGCAGCTTTAATGAAGCACTCAAAGACATTGGAAGTGGGCTTTTTCCCCAGATTTCCACCACACAGCTGAATCATTTTAGTCTGAGCTAAAGCTGCTGCAAAAGCTTACAGCAAAATTCATAATCATGATTATTTTTGGTCACATAAACCTGTTGCAGTTTCACTTATTTAACAGGGTAAATTGTGAAAATAAAACATTTAAGTCAAATCGATTTGTTTGTTTAAAAGAGACGAGAGTGATGGGAGACACAGCGTCGTCTTGCAGGGAGTTTGGCCCTGATTAGGCGGTGATTTTGATCACTGAACCCATCAAAGGATGAAGATGGGTGGTGAGGAGCAGAGGACTCTCCTGCCTCAGCACCCACAGGGTAAGGGACAGAGAGATCAAGCTGTCAGCCAGCTGTGGCACAAGTTTTGTCTCACATTTTAACCTCAAAAGTGACTTTCTCTGCGCCTTACTCAGTGTTTAATGCTAAAAGTTTACATTTTCGTGTATGTATATATAT